TAGTCTAGTCTATAGTCTAGTCTATAGTCTAGTCTATAGTCTAGTCTATAGTCTAGTCTATAGCCTAGTCTATAGTCTAGTCTATAGTCTAGTCTATAGTCTAGTCTATAGTCTAGTCTATAGTCTAGTCTATAGTCTAGTCTATAGTCTAGTCTATAGTCTAGTCTATAGTCTAGTCTATAGTCTAGTCTATAGTCTAGTCTATAGTCTAGTTTATAGTCCAATCTATAGTCTAGTCTATAGTCTAGTCTATAGTCTAGTCTATAGTCTAGCCTATAGTCTAATATATAGTCTAGTCTATAGTCTAGTCTATGTCTAGTCTATAGTCTAGTCTATAGTCTAGTCAATAGTCTAGTCTATAGTCTAGTCTATAGTCTAGTCCATAGTCTTGTCTATAGTCTAGTCTATAGTCTAGTCTATAGTCTAGTCTATAGTCTAGTCTATAGTCTAGTCTATAGTCTAGTCTATAGTCTAGTCTATAGCCTAGTCTATAGTCTAGTCTATAGTCTAGTCTATAGTCTAGTCTATAGTCTAGTCTATAGTCTAGTCTATAGCCTAGTCTATAGTCTAGTCTATAGTCTATAGTCTAGTCTATAGTCTAGTCTATAGTCTAGTCTAGTCTAGTCTATATTCCTGTCTGTAGTTTAATCTATATACTTATATATACTCTATTCTGTAGCATAGTAGTCTGAGAGATACAACTTAAAAACTATTTAATTTTTTTGTTTTAACCAAATATGTTTGTGTAAAAATATAGGGTGTCACTATAAAATTCCACATTTTACTTTGTATACGAAAACCATTTGCAACAATATTTCAAAAAGAGCAAAAATACCATATTTTATGAAGCACAAAATGAGCAACAACAATGTAACAAAATTTCTATCTTCTTATCTGTTAATAAGGGAAAAATTTTTGAGATTTGCTTACAAAGTTGTTATAATTGAAAAGGATTTTTGTTCATTTTCATCTCTTTCGTTTTTTTGTTTGGAAATTTTTGTGAACAATAGCTAGAACTTGTTTAGGATAGATAATAACACGCTTCCGTAATCAACAAATGTTAACGAGATGTAAAACATTTTTAACGCTTTAGGAGAGAAAAAGCAAAGCTATTCATTCTTCTTTTTCTGAGGTGTTAAGGAGATTGTCATGATTTGTTTAGAATTTGAAATTGTACCAAAGAAAATTACTTTTTTTATTATGTTATATTTTTTTTTATATTTTAATCCTAATTATACTGATAAATTTAGAAGGGCAGGGGGTATAAACAAGATAATCCTATTGTGTTTTAAATAATTTTTTTTTTTTGATTTTACTTCTGGTTATAATCTGTATACAAATGTATTTAAAATGATTGACTGCTTTACCATTTAATAAAACTTAAATCTATGACATGAAAACAGCAATTCCGGAAGTAATGTTTTAAATATTAGCATAAAGATAAATCTTTCTGGGATTATCTTCTCTCTACTTTAGCACAAATAATCTCCAAAATAATATCTCCTTAAAGTATACATTTAAAATAAATTTTCTTATCATTCTTCATGAAATATAGCTTTAACCAAAACTACTACAATTCCCAGCATTTGTGCAACTCATGTGGTTAGTTGTTGCCAGTTATTATGTTGCTGCTTCTTTTGCTGTTGTCAGTTGTAAGGTCATAGAACAGAATATATAACTTATGATGTGATGACGATAAAAACCAACAACAATAAGTTCATAATTCAATACTGCTACTGTACTGTTCTATTTGTTTTCTAAGTATTTTTGTAGTTTTCAGAACTTTCTGTTTTGGTTGGGACTGGGAAGCCAAGGGGTGTAGGGCAAATTTTTATAACAGTTTTTGAAGTTTGTTGTTTCATATACTCATGTGTGTTTAGGAACTTAACTGTTTTCTTCACTATATTGACAAAAATAAAGTGTGAAAGTAAGAAACGGTAAATACGATCACATAATACCCTAAAAAACCCATTGATGTTTCTGATTTGGACAAAGACTAACTATAAACTAGTCATGGTTTATAGATTATATTTTAGACAATAGGACTATAAACTATGCTATAGATTAGACTATGTACTTGACTAGACTTTAGACTATACCAGACTTTAGATTAGACTGTAGAATTACCTATAAACTAGACTATATACTAGACTATAGACTAGGCTATAGAATAGACCATAGACTAGACTATAGAGTAGACTATAGAGTAGACTATAGACTAGACTATAGAGTAGACTATAGACTAGACTATAGACTAGACTATAGACTAGACTATAGACTAGACTATAGGCTAGACTATAGACTAGACTATAGACTAGACCATCGACTAGACTATAGACTAGACTAGACTATAGACTAGACTATAGACTAGACTATAGACTAGACTATAGACTAGACTATAGACTAGACTATAGACTAGACTATAGACTCGACTATAGACTAGACTATAGACTAGACTATAGACTAGACTATAGACTAGACTATAGACTAGACTATAGACTAGACTATAGACTAGACTATAGACTAGACTATAGACTAGACTATAGACTAGACTATAGACTAGACTAGACTATAGACTAGACTATAGACTAGACTATAGACTAGACTATAGACTAGACTATAGACTAGACTATAGACTAGACTATAGACTAGACTATAGACTAGACTATAGACTAGACTATAGACTAGACTATAGACTAGACTATTGACTAGACTATAGACTAGACTATAGACTAGACTATAGACTAGACTATAGACTAGTCTATAGACTAGACTATAGACTAGTCTATAGACTAGACTATAGACTAGTCTATAGACTAGACTATAGACTAGACTATAGACTAGACTATAGACTAGACTATTGACTAAACTGTAGACTAGACTATAGACTAGACTATAGACTAGACTATAGACTAGACTATAGACTAGACTATAGACTAGACTATAGACTAGACTATAGACTAGACTATAGACTAGACTATAGACTAGACTATAGACTAGACTATAGACTAGACTATAGACTAGACTATAGACTAGACTATAGACTAGACTATAGACTAGACTACTATAGACTAGACTATAGACTAGACTATAGACTAGACTATAGACTAGACTATAGACTAGACTATAGACTAGACTATAGACTAGACTATAGACTAGAATATAGACTAGACTATAGACTAGACTATAGACTAGACTATAGACTAGACTATAGACTAGACTATAGACTAGACTATAGACTAGACTATAGACTAGACTATAGACTAGACTATAGACTAGACTATAGACTAGACTATAGACTAGACTATAGACTGGACTATAGACTAGACTATAGACTTGACTATAGACTAGACTATAGACTAGACTATAGACTAGACTATAGACTAGACTATAGACTAGACTATAGACTAGACTATAGACTAGACTATAGACTAGACTATAGACTAGACTATAGACTAGACTATAGTCTAGACTATAGACTAGACTATAGACTAGACTATAGACTAGGCTATAGACTAGACTATAGACTAGACTATAGACTAGACTATAGACTAGACTAACCAATTTCCAACCGTGGATCTAATAGATTCCAGATCCATGTCTTTAAAATATTGATTTTTGCGTTAAAGCAAAAAATTGGGTTCATAGAACGACAAACCTACTTTCACCCTTATCACTGTGGTAGGGCATAAAAAAATTGTTCCATTTATGGAAATGATAAAAAAAAAATAACATTGAAAATAGAAAAGTGGAACACTGGTTACTTGTTTGTTTTCTGGTTTCTGATACCACTGAGAAATCAGCGTCAAATTATATTTTTGTGGTTTTATTGTCGTTTGTTGTTGAGTTTTGCATAATGTATGAGCACAAGACAGAAAAAAAACAAAGCTAGATAAACTGTAAACAACCAGCTTATAAATTGCTTTTTAACATGTGGGGTTTTTGTTTTCTTAAGCTGCATTAAACTATGTGAACATACGTACACACATATGTAAATATGTTCACATTTATGAGGAAATATTCAAGCAGATTTCTACTGAACATTTAGATTTATTTGAAATTTTTGGGTTATAAGCATAGCAATACTCTCTTGTTCTAGGTTGAATAGTGATGCAGAGTGCACCTGCAGTAATAAGTTTTTTTTATTTATTTCTTTCATATGTTACTGCATAGTTTTCTGTCTTTTCTACAGTCGTGGCTACAATCTTGTTTACAGTTGAGTCTTGTCTACAGTCTTATCTGCAGTTGAGTATATCGTATTTTCTATAGTCGAGGCTTTAGTCTTATTTAAACCCAAATTATGGTCTAGTCTATAATCGAGGATATATTCTTGTTTATAGAATTTCCTTAAACTCAGTTTGAGTAATAGTTTTGGCAATAAACTTTCTAATCCAATTTATTTTTTGTTTATTTTTTCTAATTTTTTTTGTTTTTTGGATTGTTACCAAAAACCAAATCTAATAGATAGAAAAAAAACAAACTTTCAACAACTAGGTAATTGAGTTAAAAAAACTATGTTAAACAAACTAGAAAAATACAAACTCATATGTACGAAAAAAAACTTTAGTAAAAATCAATTGTGTGTGTTTGTTTTTAAAATCCTTTTTTTGTGTCAAGGAAATGCATATATTTGCATAATTATATGCAAATTTATGCATAATTTCACTCACTTATAGAGTGTGTACAAAAACCAAATTGTCTATAGTTTGTGGAAAAATTTATAGGCAAAAAAAATAGTTTTTTTTTTAACTATAAATTACTTAACTATTCTTGGAATTCTTCCAATACATACAAACATCATTCTGTTATTACATTTATCTTTTAACGAAAATTTATGGTTTATTTAAAACTTTTGGAAATGATAAAATTTTTAAAATATGAATTATGCATTTGAAACAATGACATTTTCAGTTAAATGATAAAAGTTACAGATTTAACAACATATAACAAATATTATCTGTATTTGTAATAAATACATTTTTATTTATTTTTCTTTACAGTTTCCCGCAATGCGTGCATTGTCCATATCATCGGCAGATGCTTTCATTTTGGTTTATGATGTCACAGATGCAACCACCTTTGAAGAGGTTCGCATGATACGTGATCAAATTCATGAGACTAAAGGCACCTCAGCTGTGCCAATTGTGGTTGTGGGTAATAAAATAGATTTAGTGGCCAACGATAGTGACCTGAGAGAGGTGAGTTTTAAAAAAGTTTATTTATATTTATTAAAGAAAATATTAAGACTTTGATAAGAATGACAACATATTATAACATCAGCCCAAATAACTTGTCTGTTATAATTTCCAGAGATCATGGAATGTTTATGAAATATTAAGCTTTTTAATACATTATAAAGAGAGTTTATCTTAAAAAGTACATGATCAAAAATAGTGGGCGTTAATAAGGCGTGACATATAAATCAAACTTATTGTTTGGTAAAAATTAAGGAAACTCTGTTAAAAAAATCTTATATTTCACTAAATTGGGAGTAAAAGGGCGTGTCGTCAGATATATAGTATGCTAGGTTAGGTTACATCACTGTGGACACACTTGAGTCCGCCAGAACAATATCTTTGGGGTTCTTGAGAAAAAGGCCTGATCTTCAAGATCTTCGCCTTTCTACATGTAACCTGTTACACATATATTATCAATGGGAATTTATTTTAAAAAGTACATAGTATGAAGTAGGGTTTTCATTTATCTTACATACAAAAAGTAGGCGTAAAGAAGGCGTGGCATTCAAATCATATATTTCCAGTATAGATTTATAGTTTTACAAAATTTCAAGAAAAAAATTTTGAGCAGCTAAGCAGATTGCACATGTATTTCCATAACATGGAACACACTTTGGTCCATCATAATAACGCTTTTGTTGCACCAGAGAAAAAGGTCTACACTAGACTATAGACTAGACTATAGACAAGACTATAGACTAGACTATAGACAAAACTATAGACAAGACTATAGACTAAACTATAGATAAGACTATAGACTAGACTATAGATAAGACTATAGACTAGACTATACACAAGACTATAGACAAGACTATAGACTAGACTATAGACTAGACTATAGACAAGACTATGGACAAGACTATAGACTAGACTATAGACAAGACTATAGACAAGACTATGGACAAGACTATAGACAAGACTATAGACTAGACTATAGACTAGACTATAGACAAGACTATGGATAAGACTATAGACAAGACTATAGACTCGACTATAGACTAGACTATAGACTAGACTATAGACTAGGCTATAAACTAGACTATAAACTAGACTATAAACTAGACTATAGACTAGACAGTAGACTATACTATAGACTAGACTATAGACTAGACTATAGACTAGACTATAGACTAGACTATAGACTAGACTATAGACTAGACTATAGACTAGACTATAGACTAGACTATAGACTAGACTATAGACTAGACTATAGACTAGACTATAGACTAGACTATAGACTAGACTATAGACTAGACTATAGACTAGACTATAGACTAGACTATAGACTAGACTATAGACTAGACTATAGACTAGACTATAGTATAGACTAGACTATAGACTAGACTATAGACTAGACTATAGACTAGACTATAGACTAGACTATAGACTAGACTATAGACTAGACTATAGACTAGACTATAGACTAGACTATAGACTATAGCCTAGACTATAGACTAGACTATAGACTAGACTATAGAATAGACTATAGACTAGACTATAGACTAGACTTTAGAGTAGACTATAGACTAGACTATAGACTAGACTATTGACTAGACTATAGACTATACTATAGAATAAAGGGGTCATTTACAGTCATGACCTGTCATTTACAGAGAAAATGAATGACTTCCTCTCCTTCCTTTTCATCTTTATAGTTTATGCAGAAGTGATTGCTTGGTAGATTCTTCTAGATTAAATCCCAAAAGGCCAGTTAACACTGTAATGGTATTCTCGTAAGATATAACAAGGTTTGTGATCTTAGTGGGATATATGTAGGACACATAATCTTCGCCTTTCAACACGTAGCCTTAGTTTATTATCTGGATTATAGAAAATATTATAGTGGAGTTCGTCACGTATCGAGGGTTTGTAGCATACAGTATCTTCTCTAACTAGTAAAACAAAAGAGTAGGCAATGGTAATACCATTTGATGAACTAGAATCCAGTACAGTTCTATTGTGGAATGTTTTGCCTTCTCATTAAGGAATGATAATAAAAAAAGTTTTAAAGAAACTTTTCAAATGAAAAACAATCACATTTTTTATAAATAAACTCTTTCAATTTATAAAATTTACATATAACTTGATTAAAAATTCCTTCTATTCCAACAAACAAACAATTACTTAAACGTAACACCTTAAAATTAATAACAAACTATTGAACAACCATCAAATCATCTGCAAACACTTTACACACTTCAACGCTTTCAAATTAAAATGCATGAAACCAAATCAGCCAAAAAACCTTCCATTCAACACACTGACCAACATAAAACCTCAAAATTACAAATATATAAACAACCATCAAAAACTTTGAAACTACTCGCTAAAAACAATCAATTATTAGCGAATATTACTGAAGACAATTTCAGTTCGCATACAAAATTCAAATCACTCATACGCATCGCAGCACCAACAAACATTTACTTAATTTCTATAAACTTTTGATTAATTTCAATTTCTTTTATTTTGCAATTTCCTTTCAAAAACACTGATATTTTTTCAACCTAATACCAATAATAAATCTTACATTTTTATTAAGATCTCTACTGAGATTGATAAAATGTCAAATTAAAATTCTTTTATGCGAAAAAAAGCAAACAAACTCATAAAAAAATATCTTAGGAATCTTGAAAAAAAATTGTTCTTCTTCAATGGATTTACATACAGATTTCCCTGTTTAAGTTGTCTTGTTGCTTGTGAACTCTCTGCTGCTCGGGAATGGAAGTAAAATGAAGTCAAGCATTGTCCTTTAGCCTCAAAATTGTATGGGAATGGAGAGGTAGTGAAAGCAGAAGTAAATAAACAAATCGCTGAACAACAAAAATAAATAATAAAAAAATAACTCCAATAACAAAAACAACATATTGAGAATGTAATCAAAATGCAAATTTCTATATTCCATTATTAGTTTTCATACTCTGTATATATGTATGTCAGTCCCTCCTTGCTTGTTGAATCATTCTGTCCAAATGTATGTTTATATGTTAGTTCTCCCTGGTTCGTTTCAACAACTACAACAAGTAGCGAACCCCAAGCATCAATAATAACAAGACTAACAACCAAACTTAACCAAGAAAAATATTTGAACTTATTTCAAATCTTTCATTACAAAGCCATTTTTATATTATATTAGAATATAAATTGATTTATTTGATAATGTGTTTGTATTTTTGCTTGGGTGTCTGTTGGAGTGTATGCTAAATATATGTATGTATGTATAAGGGTGTAAAAGTGTACGAGTGTAAGTGCAAGCCCATTTAAACTTCTTGACATATTTTCACAAACTTGCACAATGGAACAGTATAAATATTTCTTACACTTGGTAAAAAGCTAATCTACACTTTAAGGTCACACAAATAAGTGACAAAATATATGTGATGTATGAATTACTTCCCAAATTTTCAACTTCGCGACCCACAGTTCTTCAACGCGCTTCATTGGCCCTGAATTTAACTGCTAAAAAATTCCAAAAGTTTTCTTCTTTCCATCTTTAATATTTTCATTTTTCTTTTTCAATTTACCCAAATAATATTTTATTATTCACGATAAAATCAAAAACTCCAAACAATTTATACAGAGCGAAAGTGAGAGCAAAATATATATAACCCTTGTCATTCATTCAGTGCCATCACACGCTCGATGCTGAATATATTAGTTGAGAATGATTTTTGCATTTAAAATTGTTTTTCTTTAGTGGTTTGTGGGGAAAAATAATAAAAAGGGTTTTCGCCAAGTTTTCTTTTGCATTATTTTTTTGTATTTTTTATGTAATTGATGATGAGTGCGTAAGTTTGTTTGTCTGTTCAGTTGAATGTGAAAAAAAGGAGTAAAACCCGCCATTTGTTTGGCCTTTTGTATGTGATAAATAAAACGGTTTTTGCATGTTGTTTGAGTTTTTTTTTTCGTTCAGCAGAGTTTGCTTTTCTGGTGCCCTATAGTAGGTTGTTAGGGACTAGGATATCTTGTCAGACTCTCTACTTAATAGGAATATAGACAGCATAGCAGTTCAGACTATAGACTATACTATAACCCACACTATATACAATAGTTCTTACTGCAGTCCACAATATAGAATACTGTCCAGACAAAAGACTTCACTATAGGCGATACTATAAATTAGACTATAATCATGACTATAGATTATATAATAGTCCAGACTATAACTTAGACTATAATCCAGACTATAGACTAGACCTTAGTCCAGGCTATAGACAAGACTATAGACTGGTCTATATTTCAAACTATAGTCCAGCCTACAGACTAGACTATAGTCCATACTAGAGTAAAGACCAGACTATAGTCCATACTAGAGTAAAGACCAGACTATAGTCCTTACTATAGATTAGACAAGACTACAGTACAGACTATAGACTACGATATAGTCCAGGCTATAGACTTAACTGTAGTGAAGACTATAAAATAGACTATAATCCAAAATATAGAATATACTATATTCCAGTCTATAGAACAGACTATAGTCCAGACCATAGAATAGACTACAGTCCAGACTGTAGAATAGACTATAGTAAAGACTATAGAATAGACTATAGTCCAGACTATAGAATAGACTAAAGTTCAGACTATAGAATAGACTATAGTAAAGACTATAGAATGGACTATAGTCCAAACAATAGAATAGACTATAGTCCAGGCAATAAAATAGAATATAGTCCAGTCCATAGAATAGACTATAGTCCTGTCTATAGAGTAGACTATAGTCCAGACTATTGAGTAGACTATAGTTCAGACTATAGAATAGACTATAGTCCAGGCTATAGAATAGACTATAGTACATACTATAGAGTAGACTATAGTCCATACTATAGAATAGACTATAGTCCATACTATAGAATAGACTATAGTCCATACTATAGAATAGACTATAGTACAGACTATAGAATAAAATATAGTCCAGACTGACAATAGTCCAGACTATAGAATAGACTATAGCCCCGAATATAGAATAGACTATAGAATATACTATAGTCCAGACTATATAATAGACTATAGTCCAGTCTATAGAATGGACTTTAGTCCATACTATAGAATATACCTTAGTCCAGACTATAGAATAGTCTATAATCCGGTCTATAGAATAGACTATAGTCCTGTATGTAAAATAGACTATAGAATATACTATAGTCTAGACTATAGAATAGACCATAGTCCAGACTATAGAATGGACTATAGTCCAGAATACAGAATAGACTTAAGTCCAGACTATAGAATAAACTACAGACAATATTATAGGTCAGACTATATATAAGATTATAGTCTATATTATTAGTTTTTATTAAAAAGACAATCTGGATTTTATATTAGACTATAGAATAGACTAAAGTCCAGACTATAGAATATATTATAGTCCAGACTATAGAATAGACTATAGTCCGGTCGAAAGAATAAAATAACATGACCAAAATCTGAATTATACATTAGACTACTGACTATAGAATAGATAATAGTCCAGACTATAGGATAGACTATAGTCCATATTATCGACTACACTATAATACTGATTAAAATGTCTTGACTAAAATCCGGATTAAAGACTAGACTACAGACCGGACTATTAAACTTGACTATTGGCAATTGATAAAGGATATTTTCTTTTGCTTTAGATCCATTTAAACATTAACCGGAAATAGTAGAGCTTATAATATTCTCTATATCCCCTTTAAATCACTCAACCGTACTAAAGTGGAGTAACAGAAAAAAAAAGAAAAGAAAAACATGACACAATAAGGATGGTATGTGAACAATTTTCACTTTATTTTTGTACTCGAAACAATGTACAAAAAGGTGTTAATATTTGCACAGAGGATACAAAAGAAAATGGAAATTTTTCATAAATTGTTTTTTTTTTACATTGCAGCAATTTTTGTTGTTGTTTTGACAGCGCTTTATTAAGGTAAATTTATCCCCAGATAATCGTAAATATTGCTTAGTATATACATTCTGGTGGGCCGTAATGATAACTAATGAAGAGTTTAATATATTATAGGTGTAGATATAAAATTGAGCGAAAGTACACGTATACTTTATTTCTAAAGCTAAAGCTTTAAGTTTTTCTACACATTTTATATAGAAAACAAACTAACAGTTTTATTGCATCAAGATGAGTTATATTTTTCTTAAGATTTTTAACTTGTTATTTGTGTAAATATTTTATTTTGCACCAGTCTAGGGTTGCCAACAAATAGAACTTTTATTCATGTGTGCGAAGCAATTTGAAGTCAAAAGATTAGTTTTCAATATGCCAGCGTCACATAAATATTTTTTTGCTGTCTCTTATTATGTCTGTATATATAGGATTTGAACAAATACCTATGGCTGTCTTGATCTTAAAGTTATAAAAAAATTTACATTTCTATACAAAGTAGCAAAGGTCGTTTGTCTGCAACCCAACTCATTTGTCAAAATATTGAAGTCATGTTAAAGTATTACACAGTCAGTACTTATGTGGTGAAGGATTGATGTCAAACGTATTATGAATTCCCTTATGAAGATTAAGGTTATCACTCATAAGTATATGACAAAGGATATAAAATATTTACATTAGCAACAAATAACAGAAATTTAAAAATAAAATTAAAAATAATAAAAAATATATATTTCTAACTTGTACTTCAGTTCAGAAGTTTAGACTAGAGACAAGACTATTTAGTCTACACAAAAGTCAAGAATGTAGTCCTGACTTAAGTCTAATTATAAAGCTTAAGTACTAGACTACACTGTAAAAGACTGTACGTTAGACTATACTATAGACTAGACTATGCACTAGACCATAGACTACTACGGACTAGACTATAGGTTATAAAATAGACTATATTATAGACAAGACTATAGACTTGACTATAGGCTCGACTATAAACTCGACTAGAGACTCGACTATAGACTCAATTGTAGACTCGACAATAGACTCGACTATTAACTCGACTATAGACTCAATTATAGACTCGACCATAGACTCGTCTACAGACTCCATTATAGACTCGACCATAGGCTCGTCTGCAGGATCGATTATTAACTCGACTATAGAATAGACTATATACTAGACGACAAACTAGACTATAGACTGGACTATCTTATAGACTTGACTATAGACTCGACTCGACTACAAACTCGACTATAGACTCGACTACAGACTCGAGTATAGACTCGACAATAGACTCGAGTATAGACTCGACTATTAACTCGACTATGGACTGGAGTATAAACTCGACCAAAGACTCGTCTATAGAATAGACTATAGACTAGCCTATAGACTAGACTATCCTATAGACTTGACTGTAGACTAAACAAGCCTATGGACTAGATTAGCCTATAAACTTGACTATAGACTAGTTTAAAATATTTGTATTTAAAAAATGTTTTTTTTTTTTTTTTGTTTTTAAATAAACTTATTAAAATTTCTTCTAATACCATTAATTTTTTAATTCTCTTTAAATTAACCTCACTTTCTAATAAAAATCCTAAACACATTTTGTATATTTGTTCACAGGTTGAATATGCCACCACTGAATCTGTTGTTACAGTAGACTGGGAAAATGGTTTCGCTGAGGCATCAGCTGCCCGCAATGAAAATATAACACAGGTATGTATAACATCCTACTCTACATCGCTCTACCTTTCACCTCTACTATCACTGGCATTAAACTGCTAAATGAAATAAATACCAGCATACACAATATTATAGTTATTATAACATTATGTTATGTTTTTGAAAATATTCTTCTTTTTTCCAGGTGTTTAAAGAACTATTATCCCAGGCTAAAATCACTTATAATTTAAGTCCAGCATTGCGTCGCCGTCGTCAATCGTTACCACAACAAGTGGGCAATAATGGTCCAGGCACACCAACACATCATCATCAGCAGCATCATCATCATCATCAACAACCGCACTCATCTGCCTCGTCATCATCATCGTCCGCGTATGCTGGCTCAATGGCACATGCACCAACAGCAGCACAATTGCAACATTTACAGAGGATACAAGAACGTAGTTTGGGTAGTAAACGTAATTCCTGTACAATTTCCTAAAAATGTCAAAACAGACAACAACAACAATAACCACAGACACACACACACACACACACACACACAAAAACACTAAACTATATAAACGAAAAACAATGTGAAACCTAAATAAATATAGATACAAGGAAATATATATATCAGAGTATATATTCCACAGATACATATAAACCTAGATAAAAAGAAAATCCATATATTAGGGAAGCACCGAAAGATTTTTTTAACAAAATCTGATATTAAGTTATGTACTTAAAAGGGGATTCTCTGGCAGTTAATTATTATATTCCTTTGATTATAAGTTGTTTCGAATCTGTTTCGAATTTTATATGGTGAATATTCCAAAAATGTGTACGCATGTATGTATGTATCTGTGAAATATTAAATTTATTTCAATTTTATTTTTATTAATAAACTTAAAATAAATTACGAAAGAGAAAATAACCAAAAACTATGGGAATACTGTGGAGCTGATTCTCAAGAAAACGGTAATAAATTAGCTCTTAACCTATAGTTTTTTTTAAAGACTATTTGGTTTTGTAGTTTTGACGAAACTGAAGCTCATGGAGTAGTTACCCAGCAAAAACATGGTAATGACTTGTAATTACAACTACATACCGCCTGTATTACTTAGAAGGAGTCTGGTAATGGCTTTCAAATAACTATAGACGTAAGTACTTACATTTTAGTATTGACTCCTTATTTGAAGGCGATCGTAGTGAGTACTTATCTAACTCCCTACATGTAAGCGAAAGTGGTAAGTACTTGCCTTCAATGACTGTAGTGGAAAAAGCTGAGCAAGTACAGAGGAGGTTGAAGACGTCAAAGCCAAAGTTTTCACAAATTAGGCGTCATCGACTTCGCAAAAAATACACATTTCACTATTAATTTCTAAATCGTCATTCTGAAAGTTTTCTTTCAAATCTACAATAAGTAGACTTTCTGTAAGGGGCGTAGTTATGGGGGTGGGGCCAATTATTGACAAATTCTCGTGAAATTTAGTCAAGATATTTTGGTTCTAATACAACTCTTATATATCGAATTCTACAGCTATACTCGTATGAGAGGTTATGAGAGTTTAATTAATTTTCTGAAAGTGATGTTAAATGGAAGTAACATCAAATGTGGACCAAAGTCCACCATACTTTACAATATAATTTATGGATGCATAAAACTATGTTGTGCAATTTTTATCAAGATTTATGCATAATGAACCCATTTATAACGGTTCCGGGTGGCCTCTTATATGGGTGCTACAAGAAGTCGTTTACCGATATTTCTGATTATCAATATCAAAGATTTCTGATCAATATAGACGATTTAGGAAAAATTTCATCATCTTGTTTCCTTTCCCCTAGTCTCTATCGGGCTTTCGTTCAACAAACGGAAGGAGCCGGTTATGAGAGTTAAATTAATTTTCTGAAAGAGGTGTTAAATGGAGGTTACATCAATTGTGGACCAAAGTCCACCATACTTTACAGTATAATTTATAGCGGTTCCGTGTGGCCTCTTATATGGGAGCTACAAGAAGTCGTTTACCGATATTTCTGATTATCAATATCATAGAATTCTGATTAGTACAGATGATTTTGGAAACATTTCGTCATCTTGTGCCCTATCCTCTAGTCCCTATCGGGCTTTAGTTCAACAGACGGAAGGACAGACATATCCAGGTCTTCTTAAATTTACAATGATTCAAAATATATGCTTTCTGGAGACTAAGAGTGGAACGGAATGCCAAAATCAATATTTTTATTTTTAAATGGATATAAAAAGTTCTTCATATGGAGATACTTTTCGCTATAAAAAAGTACATTAGTACTACATTTTTTGTCTACGCTGACATGATCCACAGAGTAAAAGCTTAAGTTCTGCTTTATAATTTGTAGAATCTATAATTTAAAAGTTTTACATAAATTTATTACCATATTTTCCAGAATCAGCTCTACTTTAAGACCGTCTATTTTAATCGACAACCATTAACTTAGTACCTTTTATTAGTAAATTTCCATGAATATAACAAATTACTTTAATAAACTAAAAGACAAAACTATTACACTCTATAACTCCATAATAACTAAACAAAGACGTAAAGAGATATGCCAAAAGAAAACAATTTTAATTTTAATAAATAAAAATCTTCAAAAATAAAAATAAAAATAATTATTTTTAAAGACCATAATTAAACAAAACTCCATAAATATTTAAACAGCCATTAAAATACCTTTTAAAAATACCAAAATATAAGCTATAAACCAAAAAAAACAAACCATTAATTACTAAATACAAAGAAGTCTTTGTTCCATAAACATTAAAAAAAAAATACTTGATACGGGTTTCAATGTTTAAAATATATACAAAAAGAAAAACAATTATGAAAATAAAAATATTAATATTAATATAAATAAACAGCAATTAAAATAAAACATAATTTAAACAATGAAATATTAAATGTAAACATTTAATAAAAAAAAAACTAACAATAGTTTAAACAAATTTTAATTTAACAGTTGGGTTTCTAAATATTTTAAAAATATTATATAATTTCAAACTAAAAACGAAAACTTTAAAAAAAATAATGTGAAAATTTAAACGAAATGTAACACCAAAGTAGTAGCAGCCAAACTAACTAATTTAAAAAGAAATGTGAAAGCTAGAAAAAATCAAAAACAAAAATTAAAGGGAAATTTAATGAAGTATGTAGTAGTTTTATAAATGTTTGATGTTTTAGAAAAGTAACGAAAATTTAGTTTAAACAAATAAAAATATCAAAATAAAATACGAAAATTATACATCAAGAGAAATGATACACAGCAGATATCATATGCTGATGATGTATAAATAAGAAAAAAATGCAATATTTTATGGTAGTTTATGTTATAAGTGAAATAAAATATTTCAAAAAATATATTTTATAAATGTTTTCTTAAGTATACTATTAGTAATTAATAAATAAATTTAATTCAGTTAATTTTGAAATGTTTTATTTAAAAAAGCAATTAAAGGGTTAAACAAGTTAAATTATTATATAAATTAATTCGAATAATAAAATAAAAAAATATTGACTATTTTCCTAATTTTATTTCAATATTTTTGGTGAAATTCTATTTTGAAAAATAATTTTTCAAAATTATAAGAAAAATTCCCTTTTTTGAGATATCTAAACCAATTCCAACTAAATTCTACTAACAAAAACTTGTCTTGAAAAGAATTCATTCTTTTAAATATCTCTATTCCAAATTTCATTCCTTTAAACAAATATTTGTTAACCAAATTTTATTTAAAATTTGTTATATTTATATTTAACACTTAATTTTTTTTTAGTATATCAATGTGTGTATGTATTAGTATTATAAAAAAAAAAAAAAAAATTTATCTCCCAACAACAAAAATTTAAATAGTTTTAATTCAACAAAAAATATGAAAAGAACTAAATTACAACTATAAGAAGAGACTAAAATTTAATGTTTTGCTTGTATGAAATTATATTAAAAATATAAATTAATATTAAAAAAGAAAAAAATTATATCAGAGAAAATAAATTATATAAATAAAAATATAGTAAAAAAATAACTAACAAAAATAAGGTCTTTTTTTATTAAAATACTAGCTATACCCAGTGTGCTTTGCTACCCTAAAAGCAATATAAATAAAAAATCTTCTTAATAATTTTTAAGATTCTAACTGTAATGTTTTCCAGAGATACAATTTTTCCGAACGAATACGAAATTTTGTATTTAATTCATATAGGGGGTGCCAAGACCCCATTGAAAGTCCGCCCGTTATTCTCTAAATGTTCATATGAATGTCAAAGATCTTCATGTAGAATTTGAAGATTCTAGCTCTAATAGTTTCTCAGATATACGAATTTTTCTATTTAATTCATATGGGAACACACAACCCCCAGATGAAAGTCCGCCTTTTTTTTCTTCAAAATGTTCATATGTCTAAAAAGTTCTTCTTGCTAAATTTGAAGAATTTTGTTCTATTAGTTTCCCTGATAAGCGAAATTTTGTATTTAATTCATATGTGAGGTGCCAAGCTCCCCATTGAAAGTCCGCCCATTATTCTCTGAATGTTCACATGAATGTCAAAGTTCTTCAATTAAAATTTGAAGATTCTAGCTCTAATAGCTTCTCAGATATACGAATTTTTCTATTTCATTTATATGGGGGCTCCAAGTTCCCCCATGACGAAAGTCCGCTCTTTTTTCTCCAAAATGTTCAGATGAATATTTAAGTTCTTAGTGCAAAATTTAAAGAATTTAGTTCAATTAGTTTCCCAGATAAACAAATTTTTGTATTGTATTAATATGGGAGGTGCTGCTTCCCTCATGGATAGTCCGCCAATTTATTTCCCAAAATGTTTACATGGATTTTAAAGTTACTTGTGCAAATGTTTAATATTCTAACTGTAATAGTTTCCAAGATAAACAAATTTTTGTATTTAATCTATATGGGAGGTACCACGCCCCCTAATGCTATTCCGCCCACTTTTTGTCTTAAATAATTATATTGATACTAAAGTTGCTCCGACAAAATTTGAAGACTCTAGCTGTTATATTATCTCAAATATACTAATTTAATATTTTCTTAATATGGGCGTCGCCCACTTGAAATTTCAACATAAAAAGTAGCCTATAGTTGCTTCCAGACATACAGGAAGAAACTGTGAAAATTTCAGGAAAGTCGGTCCAGCCGTTTAGCAGACTATAAAGCACAAACAAACAAACATACAAACACACTTTCATTTTTATATATATAGATATACTAAAGAAAGGTTAGTTAGCTTACTAAGTAATAATTACTTAATGACATGTAATGAGCTTCTGCTTACTGTTCCCAAAGATGAAAATAGCTAATTTAAGCAAACAATTTTAATATTTTGAGGACAAAACCATTTCGGACACGCTGTTCTCATGTGAAACATATTGCTATATCGATGAAAATAAATAGTAGTCGGATGGATCAAAGTCTAGACTATAATAAGGGCAAAGACAAAACTTCCTCACGAATTCTTCCTAAAAATGTTTTAATATGAATTGCAACATTTATTTATTTATTTATTTATTTTATAACAGTCTTAGGATTTACAAAATATCCTTACAGACTATTCGCTTAAAATTAATTATAATAAATTTATTAAAAATAACTTGAACTTTTCTTTAGAATAACAAAAGTCTAAAACACTATTTTCATTTAAATTATTAAATAAATTCTGTGCTCTAGTTAATGGCTCATTTAAAGAGTAATTAGTTCTATGTAAACCAATATAAAAATAATCATGAAATCTCAATGATCTTGATGGAACATTTATGTTGACATATGACAATAAATCAGGACATATTATGTTGTAGTTTAATAAATCAAATAAAAACATGATAGATTGGAATGACCTTCTAGACTCAAGTGATTTTATACCTAATAGATTACAACGAATAGTATAGCAAATTGAAGAATTGTAGTTTACCATGTTTAGGGAAAGAGCAAATTTAGTAAATTTTCTCTGAACTCTTTCCAAGCGATTTACATGGACCCAATAACATGGGCTCCAAATAACAGAGGCATACTCAAGAACGGATCTAACAAATGAAAAATATAATACTTTGAGAGTAAATTGGTTATTGAAATCAACACTATTTCTTCTAACAAATGCAAGAAGTGAATATGATTTAGGAATAATATAATTGAGATGATTGATAAAAGTTAATTTATCATCAAATAAAACACCTAAGTCCATTATATTAGTAACTTGGTGAAGTAACGTGGTCTGCATATAATAATTAAAATAAATTGTATGTTTCACTTTATGGAAAGATATATAACAGCACTTATCAATGTTAAATTGTAATTTATTACGATCGGACCAAGAAACTAATTCATTTAAATTATTTTGCAAAAGTATTGCATCTTGAGTATCTCTAACTCGATGAAATATCTTAACATCATCTGCGTAAAGTAAAAAATTACAGTTTTTGAAGCATATATTAATATCATTCATGAAAAGACAAAATAGAAATGGTCCTAACACACTCCCTTGAGGAACACCAGATGTAGCCACATAAGGAATAGAAAAACAATCATCTACTTGTACATAACATTCTCGTTTATGTAAGTAAGAACTAAGCCAATCTAAAAACTTTGAATGAAAACCAATTTTATCCAATTTTGCAAGCAATATATTATGAGATATTTTATCAAAAGCTTTTGAATAGTCAGTATAAATAGTGTCAACCTGATATCCTAATTCAAAATTTGAAATACAGTAATGACTAAAAACTGCCAAATTAGTTGTCGTTGACCGACCCCGTAAAAAACCATGTTGCTCCTCAATTACAATAGGTTCAACAAAAAATGACATTTTCCTAACTAAGGAATGTTCAAATATTTTTGAAACAGTAGAAAGTTTGGAAATTGGCCTATAATTTTCAACATTACATTTATTGCCAGATTAAAATATAGGTGTAACTGATGAAAGTTTCCATGTATCTAAAAACAATCCTTCTTTTAATGATTTATTAAAAATCAATTGCAAAGGAACACAGATAGAATAACAACAATTTTTTACAAAGTAAGCGCATAATCCATCTAGATCACAGCCAAGTGAATTTTTGAGATTAGAAATAGCATTTATTATATCAGTTATAGACAATTGAACGTCAGAAAATTGGCCTGCACTACGAATATTATTCAAAATGGATGTATCAAAGTTTGTAGATGGTAAAGCAAAATTAGATTCAAAATACTCTGCAAAAAGATTTGCAGATTGAGTGGGCGAATTAGAAATGTTGTCTTTATAAAAGACCGATGAAGGTAAAGTGGATTTACCTCGTTTAGAATTAATGAACGTCCAAAATGATTTTGGATTAGTATTAATAACATCTTCAAATCCAAGCACATATTGATTATATAAATATCTGTTAAGGAAATTAAATTCTCTTAAATAATGTTTATACAACCTAAGATGTTCAGGATTTTTACTAATTTTATACTTCCTATAAAATTTATTTCTTAAATTTTTTAATTTTTTCAATCCCTTGGTATACCATGGTAGTTTATAAACCCTAGGATTTGCTTTAGGTACATATAAAGAAAATAATTCTGAAATTTTCTGAAGAAAAATTTCATATGATTCATTTAATGATTTATAAAAAAATAGGTTGTTCCAATCTATGGAATTAATTGCATAACTGATTTGATCATAATTACAATTTTTAAAATTATAAGAAATTGTATCTGTAAATTTGGCATTATTGTATGCATAAAAATCTAACACAATATTTAATGGATTGTGATGCATATCAGACTTACAAAGTGATGTAGCGCATTCAGTTACCGTACAATTAAGTTCATTAGAGACAAAAACCAAGTCTAATAATCTATTCAACTTATTAGGAAAAGTATTGACTTGTCTTAAA